GTCTGATCAAGTCTTAATCGACTGAAGTTACCGCAAGAAATAAACGTGAAGACTTTTTTAGACTTTAAGACGCTGTTCCGATCCATAGGCACAACAGGTAATTCAGTCCGTTCAGGCATGTCAAGATAAACAAGACGGAATGTTCTATAGCGCGATTAAGATCTGTTAAGACGGTTTAAGACAAAATCAGTCCGTATAGTCCAAATCTAAAACAATTACTTTCAACTTTGTCAGATCGGTTTCAGATCCGTTTAGTATGCTAGATATGATACTACGAGTTACGCCCCTTCTGCTTGATGATACATTTTAAATTTACTGATTGCCAATGAGACAACTATCCAACAGAGACTAATGGACGAGGAAGTAAACACCATCGAACGGCATTCAACAGTGAATAACACGTATACCGTAAGCTATACAAGGCCCCGGCAGGAAAAAATCAAAAACAATTCAAAAATGAAACCAATGACCAGATTTATTCTAAATGCAAAATGAAACATATTTGATAAACAGAAACCAACGATTACTACTGAATAACAGACTCCTTACTTGGAACAGGAACATAAACAAAGTGGTGGAATTTAACATTTCAGTTAAATCAGTTGAAAAGGGCGTGTCTCATCATATATAAACAAGGCACAACAACAAAAACCATAAAGACGAAAAAACACAAGGTAAAACTTTTAGAGTACTTGCAGTTAGTACAAGCTAGTTAAAAGCCAATTTCAACTTAAAAAATAAACTTATAAACATAAACACAAACACACATAGTTATTTTTTAACAAACATCAATGCGCATTATCAAACATCCTGCACTCATAACCTGTCATTTATCATTGACACAGTGTTATTCACTACACTTTGATTGTCCTTTCATTTAGACAAAATACATCTCTACACAAACAGGATATGACAACTTCGTTTTCAATTACATGGATACAAAGAATTAAGGCATAAACAAATGTCGACAAAATATATTTTACAATAAATACTCAAAGAAAAAATAAATGTAGTTCAGTTTTACAAAGAAAAATCCATTACAAAAATTTACCACATGAGATGTTTTGTTTCCTATTTTTAAATTCTTTTTTTTTATTGTGATTTGTCATTTGCCCCTTTTTACCTTGTGTATTTATATTGACAAACTCGTTCGCTATGTCCGTGTCTGAAGTGACGTTTTTTAATTTCAATGAATGTAATCTGGCCTGTAATGGCGTTTATGTTCGTCATTTTAGGTTTAACTGGTTATTTAAAAAGACAGTGATTTCATTACACAAAATATATTTAAAACATTTACTAAATTCTTTCATAGATACAAAAATTTGGTTTAGAAGTTTGACTGTACCTGTAGAGATGGGATGTTACATCCTAGTTTGCTATGATGTTGTTTATTTAGCCTGTAAATGTGAATACGACCCATCATTTGAATACTCTTACAGGTTGGAAAATTAAAAAAGTGCTTAAATGTAGTCTTTATCGGTACACAAATAATGATTATGATATTAATCAATTAAAACATCACTAAATATATATTGATATACAGTTATTAACAATTTTGGATTATATCCTGCCGGTACTTATATTTTAGCATTGCGCAAGGTCAATCTTTTCTCATACTGTTTTATAACGTCTGTAAGTTCAGTACTGATTAATATTCTAGTGTGGGAAATCTTGGTGTATTCATAATTTGTAATTGACTTCAACTAGCTTTCAGTAACTGCGAGTACACTTTAATTGGTATTTTTGTTTTTCTTGCTGCTAGATTTCATTCCTGGTGCAAATATAACAAAGAAAGTCTTTAAAAACCATTTTTTGCCATTTGGTTCCTAATTTGAACTGTTACATCAATGTCCACGTTAGGCGTTGAGCTCTCAGAAACATATTTAACCCCGCCACTCTATGTTTAGGTCCAAAGTCAGGACCCTGTAATTCAGGGTTTGTCATTTGTCGCTGTCTGTCATAATTATTTTTCATTGATTGTTTTATTATAAATCAGATTTTGTGTTTTCTTGTATGAATTGTTTTACAATTTGTCACATGGGATTCTGTAAATGCTCTTTGTACGGTATGTGTTTTGCGCTATGTTTAAGGCCGTACTTGTTCAAATAAGTGTTCATCCTGTATAAGACTGAATTGTGCGTATTTTATTGTGTTTTAATTTTACGATTTCATTGTTTATATAAGCACAAGGGGAGGTTTGTGAACATACAACTGGTATATTCCGAACACATTTGGGTGTACAAGTCCATTTTATCTGAACTTTATGTTGTTTGTGGTTGATAATATTTCCCCATGGTGTCCTTAGATGGTGTTCTGTGTTGTTGTTTGTACTGTTGATGTTTTGGTAGATCAAATTATCTTGTACCATTAACACATTTGTCACAATGATGAATATTATTTGATTTAAACATTATAAATTGTAGGTATTATATTTTTGGCTACTCAATGTCAAGTATTTTATTCAGTAATATTTTTTCAAAAATTGCTTTTATCATCAATATTTCCTTTATAGACGATAGTTATTTATAATGAAGCTACAACACAAAGGATTCATATCGGTAAAGGTGACCCATCTCTTACACGTCCCATCATGACCGTTAACGCAAATCTATTACACAATTGACAACGGATATATAATACCAGATTTGACTAGTCAAAAACAAAGCGACGCTTGCCACTAGTTCCACAGGAAGTCAACTAACAGTTTTTTGATCGTGTTAGTGTTGCTGAATCCTTGATTTACTGTATATTTGTTCAGTTGGTTTGGTTTTGTTTTCTCTATTATAATGAAAAATAGAATTTAAAAAAGCAAATAACAAATTATATTTTGAAACCCTTTATTATGATTTTTTTCCAACTTCTGTTTCTTTTATCCCTATCTCTTTGTTAACCGGAATGGTTTATTTTACTCCATGGTCTTAGATCTAGTCTAGAAAAATCTTGACAAGGTAAACGTGGAGCTCTAAAAAAAACATAAAAAAATATATTTAATGAAATGATTATTTCTCATACATGTGTAACATCAAAACAAAAATTGTTTCTCAAAATCATGTAATTAGTCCCTAACCGAGGACGTGATTGAAGGTCAGAAACTTATGACAACAAATTTTACGAAGGCAGTGTATTTTGAACCGGATATTGTGGTATATACACTAGACTAGTTTGATCCAGCTTAAAGCATGAAATGCATAAGATGGTGTTTTAATTCTTGGCACAAAATTCCTCTACACAATCGACAAATACATATTCTAATGAATAGCGCAAACTTACTGCTGTTCACTATCTAATGTAATATTGACGCTTTTATCACTAAAAAAAAAACTCACACCTCACAGTAATCTCAGGTGCTCCGAAAGGGTAAGCAGATCCTGCTCCACATGTGGCCAAACTCACTCCTCACAGTAAGGTTCTTAATAGATTTGATATTGATTCATCTTTGAATTGAAGCTAACATATGTTGTTTTATATCTCTAATTTTTAAGACAATAACGAGCAAAGAAATGTATCAATGTTCGATTAATCTACATTTTCATTTATAAGATATACGTATATTACAGACACAATACAAATATGAAATCAACAATCGGACATTTAAAGATTATATCTGGCAAATAATTCGAATTGATCGCATAACAATGTCGATAAACATGCATATCTAAAGTAAAAGTGCAGCAATACATATAGAAGCTGTTGTTTCAAAATTAAATACGTACTACTGAAAAATATAAGAGCATAAGATTTCCTGTTGAAAAAATAGTATAATTTTATATGAAGAGAAAAAGAACAAACATATACAGTGAAACTTGTAAAAATCGAACTCTGATTAAAAGAGTTAAAATAACAGAAATATCGAACTCCAAGGAAAATTCAAAACGGAAAGTCCCTTATCAAATGTCAAACTAAAAAGCTCAAACGAATAGAAAACAACTGTCATATTCCTGACATGATACAGGCATTTCCTTATGTAGAAAAAAATTCACTTTAAATCGAACAATTTCCAAAGTCCCATGAAATCTCCCTATAAATTAATGTTAATTCAAACTGAAAAAACCGAACCCTCCCGATACCGAATTCCATACGCCTTATGAAGACTCGTTAGTGAATGTATATTGAATGTTTACCTGTCAAAATTGATCGATAGTAAGCAAAACATTGAAACTATTTGATATTGTTTGCATAATCGATTAAACACACATACGCTGGCAAAGAATTCCGGAGGATACTTAAAGTGCAATATAATGATTAGTTGTTTTATAAAATAATTAGCTTGTAATTAATTGAGTTTAAATGATAAATAAATGTACATGTATACAGTAGTTAAATTGCAGTTCATAACAAGAAACTGAAATTGATAAAAAGGATTAACATTTGCATAGCCGAAAAGGGACAGGGCAAAAATGGGACTTTCTCTTTAACTAAAATTGGAATTAATTCAAGATTCGGAGCCAATTTCAAATTATTCACAAAATCATTTTATTTTGAAATATGGGTCGGTGAAAGCTACTGCTTGTGACAATCTTAAATGAAAAGATTCCCTTTAGAGACCCCATTGAATGCAAAATGAAGCTGAAGCTCCTGATAATGACGTTTCGTTATCCGATTTATTTCAATATGAATGTCTGGGGTTCAACATTTTGAGGGACCTGAGTGTGCAGATAATTGAAACCCGATTTTGATGAAAATTAAACGATGGAATCAGAATTTGACAGGGATTGGGAAACACTCAAGCCTTTTTTTCTTTTAAGAAAGGTCCAGTTGAGTTGCAAATTCTTATCATTATGGCCATTTGACAAAACATGGTTGATAAACACGTTGCTGTTTAGTCGATTTCGTTCAAATTGTTTGCCGGCTTTTTGACTTGATTTTCAACTGTTCCATGAAGCTTAAGACCTTTAGACTTATATCATCTATATAAATGCCATAACAGGACTGATAAAATCTTCTGACGTTTTCAGTTCTCTATATGCATAATAGAATCAATAAAAGACTACAATCTAGTATTACCCAGTTAACGGAGACACAAACGGATTTGAAGGCATTAAATTCACACCCAGAGTCCTACAATAAAGTGCTGACAATGACTGTCTTTTGATCTGTTGCAATTGAGCTGAAATAAAAAAAAAAATAAAACGTTTGTGTATACCTCAATTTGGCTCCATGTAATTCTTGTACTTGATGATTGACAGTTTACGTATATCTTAACTGTTTACACTTAGCAATTCCCTTTATTGACAAATTAATGCATTCATTTCTTTTAGAATATAAAATAATCGATTGTAAAGAAAGTTTAAGGACGGTTTTGTAAAATGATATTAGAAAACGTTTTTACTTGCATTTTTTTTTATTCAAATGTGCATCAAAAATAATTCACATATAAGGATTAAACGTTTATTTAAGTACTAATTTTTTTCTCCATTTTAATTTAACAGGGTAATGTACAAAAATTTAATTGAGAAGTAAAACAGTTAAATTTTCCATCAACTTTCAAAAAAGTTATTTGTTTGTTTAAACATATTTTATTGTTAAACAAACCAAATGGACCATATAATGTTCATGTAAATTCGACATAGTATTGTTATTTAAAAGGAATAATAAAAAGAAATATAATTCCCGTAAGAGAAATAAATCGTCATTTTCAGCTGTTCTTGTCATATTTGCTATTGCAATATTATTTTAAAAGTTAAATTGTATTAACAAATAATGACAAGACATAATTTGTGATTAATACAACATATATACTAACCAGCAGTAAAACCAGTGGAAGCAAATTCGTTTTCATAAAAGAAACGGTCACCAATCTTAAAAAACTTGAACTGAAGTCCAATTATACATCTGAATGTTGGTCCCACCAAGGCACCTGCTACTGGTGTCTCTGACAGTCCACCAGCAAATAAATCAATATCATCAGGGTGGCTAAAAGAAATGAAACGTGATTTCGACTACGATTGATAATATTCTGTCACACTTATCATGCATATTGTTGCAGTGTAACATTGACTTTTGTCAGGAATGCAAACTTCAAATACTGCTTTACCTGAAAATGTATTTCCTAATATCCACATGATGAAATTGAATATAAAAGTTCAATCTTCCCATTCATTGTCTATGTACCTTTTCTAGATTAGGTATTCTGACTTTAATGTCCTGCTTGGAGGTAAAAAAAAAAGAAAACTGATAATGAATTGGGATTAATGTGGTTGCCACAATATAAATAGTATAGACCGTACATATGAACTATAAACATGCATGTGTATAGACTCCTTGGTAGATAAAAAATACTGCCATATCAATTTTTATCGGCTTGGTCTGACATTAATGCTTCCCAATGAAGACAGTGATGTTAAATAGGGATACCCTTGTATCAAATATGACTGTTAAGTCTGACAAACCAGAAAATTATCAAAGTCATAAGCGAGTCTACATTCACCATGTTCACCAATCCCAACCACGGTATAAAATTTGTAGTAATTTGACCAAGGAATACTAAAGCTACTAGCTAGTGCATGGCATTTAAAGAGTGCATTTATTTGTATGACGGTCAAAGTCCCAACACTCTGAAATGACATATCAGAATGTTTTTGATAATCGAACAACGCGTTATGTTCATTAATTTAACCAACTATATAAAGTTTCAAGTAAATCAAACCAGGTAACTCGATTTATTGTATAACATGTGAACAAAATCTGAAAATTAAACTCCTTTAACTAGGACAATATCGAAATTTAAAAAAAAACAAGAGCTTCCTTTAATCAATCCCAACAATAACGTTAGGTGGTCACAAATTGTCAAAAGACAGGGTTACACGATTACTTCTTATCAACAGACAGTTTATTTAAAATTTGATGAAAACACATTGTTTTATAATTACAATACATATATGTTTTCATAAGAATCGGTAGGGTTGATTGGCTGACAACAATCTCAAGGCACTCCAATATAATATTCTATGTCCTCATAAATACAACAGGTATAACTCAGGTGTCAACCCCGAAAATGTTAAATTTATGCATTGAAAAACAAACAAAAAGCTTGATAAAACTCTTAATTTCATGATTGTAGCATAGAAATGTAATTATAACAATTGAATGCTCCGGTTTGGAATAGTATAGGGTTGTTAAAGCGTTTATCGCGTGCTTCATACAAAATGTGCTTCGGTCAACGCTTTTAAACCTCAATAAAATTATAAAAAGAAGCATTCAATTTTTTTAATGTATTTCTTTACTTGGCAAATTATTGTAATGCATTACTATTTCTTTTTAATGCTATTGTTTAGCAACGTATATTACCGCTTTTCTATCTTTAGTCATTAACGTTTTAAAGACTGTATGGTCGATTTGAAGTAGTCTCTTGTCGTCTTTCCGTTTCATTCAGATATTACATATATTCTCCTTCGGAATTTAATGTTACATCTGTTCATTTTGTATTGCTAAATCAGTTTGCTAGATTTGTCAATTTTTAATCAAAATACGATGTATGTGATCTTTCAACCTTAGAATATACACAAATTATGATAATATTTAATAGAACCATGGTTATCAATTTGCATTCATCTATGAATCAAATTTCGCAATTCTTTACATTTTAGGCTTTATAAGAGATTTGAAGCACATTCACCTTTCGGCAAGGTATTCAAATCTATTAACTTGGTTTATACTCCCAATACTACCTTAGGGAAACTACACAATCAAAATAATTCACCTGTAGACGGATACTAATGCTCTGGCAGTAGAAACACAATAATTGGTTAAACCTAAGTGTCCTGATTCAAAATGTAAAGCAGGCTGTAGTCCACAGAACTGTCGCCATCTGTTATATGATGGAATGCCATGGTCTCTACCACGCTGAATGTTAGGTGAATCAAGGTCAAAAGCCGTTTCCTGGCATTGTCTGAAATAGTCTGTTCCTTATTGCAGGAGTCAGAAAACGGTCTGATCTGCTCTTGAACTGTGTGGTCATCCATCTGGCTATTGCATCTGAGAATGAGGTGGGATTAATGTGGTTGCCACAATATCAATAGTATAGACCGTACATATGAACTATAATCGTGCATGTGTATGGACTCCCTGGTAGATAAAAAATATTGCCATATCAATTTCGATCGGCTTGGTCTGACATTAATGCTTCCCAAAGAAGACAGTGATGTTAAATAGGGATACCCTTGTATCAAATATGACTGTTAAGTCTGACAAACCAGAAAATTATCAAAGTCATAAGCGAGTCTACATTCACCAATCCCTACAACGGTATTAAATTTGTAGTAATTCAATCAAGGCATACTAAAGCTACTAGCTAGTGCATGGCATTTAAATAGTGCATTTATTTGTATGACGGTCAAAGTCCCAACACTCTGAAATGACATATCAGAATGTTTTTGTTAATCGAACAACGCGTTATGTTCATTAATTCAACCAACTATATAAAGTTTCAAGTAAATCAAACCAGCAAACTCGAGTTATTGTATAACATGTGAACAAAATTATTCAAATCTGACAATTAAACTCCTATAACTAGGACAATATAGAAATTTAAAAAAAAAACAAGAGCTTCCTTTAATCAATCCCAACAATAACGTTTGGTGGTCACAAATTGTCAACAGACAGGGTTACACGATTACTTCTTATCAACAGACAGTTTATTTAAAATTTGATGAAAACATATTGTTTTATAATTACAATACATGTGTTTTCATTAGAATCGGTAAGGTTGATTGGCTGACAACAATCTCGAGGCACTCCGATATAATATTCTATGTCTTCACAAATACAACAGCTATAACTACAGGTGTCAACCGCGAGAATGTTAAAATTATGCATTGAAAAACAAACGAAAAGCTTGATAAAACTCTTAATTTCATGATTGTAGCATAGAAATGTAATTATAAGAATTGAATGCTCCGGTTTATAATTTTATAGGGTTGTTAAAGCGTTTATTGCTTGCTTCATACAAAATGTGCTTCGGTCAACGCTTTTAAACCTCAATAAAATTATAAAAAGAAGCATTCATTTCTTAAATGTATTTCTTTACTTGGCAAATAATTGTAATGCATTACTATTTCTTTTTAATGCTATTGTTTAGCGACGTATATTACCGCTTCTCTAACTTTAGTCATTAACGTTTACAGACTGTATGGTCGATTTGAAGTAGTCTCTTGTCCGTTTCATTCAGATATTACATATATTCTCCTTCGGAATTTAATGTTACACCTGTTCATTTTGTATTGCTAAATCAGTTTGCTAGATTTGTCAATTTTTAATCAAAATAAGATGTATGTGATCTTACAACCTTAGAATATACACAAATTATGATAATATTTAATAGAACCACGGTTATGAATTTGCATTCACCTATAAATCAAATTTCGCAATACTTCAAATGTTAGGCTTAATAAGAGATTTGAAGCACACTCACCTTTCGGCAAGTTATTCAAATCTATTAACTTGGTTTATACTCCCAATACTACCTTAGGGAAACTACACAATCAAAAATAATTCACCTGTAGACGGATGCTAATGCTCTGGCAGTAGAAACACATTGATTGGTTAAACCTAAGTGTCCTGATTCAAAATGTAAAGCAGGCTGTAGTCCACAGAACTGTCGCCATCTGTTATATGATGGAATGCCATGGTCTCTACCACGCTGAATGTTAAGTGAACCAAGGTCAAAGCCGTTTCCTGGCATTGTTTGAAATAGTCTGTTCCTTATTGCAGGAGTCAGAAAACGGTCTGATCTGCTCTTGAACTGTGTGGTCATCCATCTGGCTATTGCATCTGGACCAAAGGTAGAAAAGTCTCTTATCAAACGAGTACTGAAGAAATGGTTTTTCATAGGTTCCCTGGCGCGTGGTGTGAAGTCTTGGTTAAACGATTCAACAAAAGAACCAACAAGAGAATGACCAAATCGATACGCTGCGGCTCCAAATGCATTTCTCGTAGATGGATTTGCAGAAGAATTATACAATGTATTAAACCCAAATCGATTACTTCGTAGCCCGTACATGTTCATACCTTCTTCCCCAAGTACTACAGGAAGATATTCAGTGTAAATAATGTGCTGATAAATTCCTGTGAGAATTTTTTTGGCTTCTTGATACAATTCTTCTCCATCATTCCACCCAAGTGCTCTCAACCTTTCAACAATATTGTTATGCTCACGCAGAAATGCAGTATGCACGACTGTCAGCATTGGAACTTCTGCTGGTCTATTGTCCCCTAGAAAAGAAATATTCCTCTGTTTCTATTCACAAAGGTAAAATGTACTATTTCTCGTTCGTGTATATACAAAAGACTAGAAGACAACTTAATAGTAGCAAGGCTGATTTTACATTTTACTTTTCGTGTACAAGAATTTCATACGTCTGAAAATATCTCGACAAGGAATGACGAAAACTCAAATGTAATACACTAATATTCAGACGATCATATCTCATTAAATTTTGTGTGCGCTTCAATAATTCGCTTACTATAAGAAACAGAATACCAGGGGAAAGAAGTAAAAACTGCAGTCATTGCGTACCAGATTTGAAACACTCTTCCCCTAATAAACATTCAGATCCTGGGGGACCATTAGGCAGAAGTCTGTTAATGCCTTCTTGAAGTCTGCCTATAAAATAAATATAAAAAAACAACTATACAAACATAAATACAATAATATTACCTTTCCAAAAATAGTTCAGACATAATTGAGAATGCTTAAAGTTTTATAACTGGTAATGGGTTAAATTATAAAAATAAGAAGATGTGGTATAATTGCCAACGAGAAAACTCTCCACAAGAGACAAAATGACACAGAAATTAACAACTATAGGTCACCGTACGGCCTTCAACAATGAGTAAAACCCATACCGAATAGTCAACTATAAAAAGCCCCGAAATGACAAAATATAAATCAATTTAAACAAGAAAATTAACGGCCTAATTCATGTACAAAATAATGAACGAAAAACAAATATGAAACAGAAACAAACGACAACCACTGAATTATAGGCTTCTGAATTGGGACAGGCACATACAGAATGTGGCGGGGTTAAAGATGTTAGCGGGCGTCCAACCCTCCGCCTACACTATTTTACTTTCAATTCAATTTCCTCTCGATCTAATCATAGTTGCGCAAGTTAGAAGTTGATAAGAGCTTAAGAACAAGTCCTCTTTTTTGTCACGATGCATACACTTTACAGTAACTATGAAGACTAAGAACGTTGGAATCATTGTACTGGTCTGAAGTATGAACTACATGAATTATCTACTTCCTTATTGTTTTCGTTTAGTTTGAAGTTGACATTTTTCATGCTTTAAAGCGTCGAAATAAAAATAGCATTACATTATGTATATACCTGTTCCCAATTCGCGTAGGTCATTTTGTCCATCGAGTGTGTTTCCATACGTCACAGACAGATCAAGAAAAGATGTCCTCTGATTAATTTGATTTCTAGATTCTGATGAAAATGTAAAAGGTTTATTATGTTAAGTTAGTGTTTTTCTTTATAACATGTTAGTCGATACATTTTCACAATTCTGGTTTATTAACACGACCCCTTTTTGCAGATTTGCTAAAACTATGTTGAGCTATGTAAATGAAAACATATTAAAGAAGAGGCGAAAGATCCCAAAGGGAAATTCAAACTCATAAGTTTAAAATTAGAAATTAGAATTAAAATAAAAAAGAAATTCTTTAAAACAATTTATTCAGATTCAATCACAAGTTAGGGTGATTATATATACACATTGTAATCTTTTCTCGATAATAAATATATGAAAATATGATGTGGTACAATGTATGATGTGACAACTATCCACCAAAGAACAAGAAACGAATGTGTAATCAATTACAAGTAACCATACGACTTTCAATGATGAGAAAAACTGATCAAGTATGGTGAGCAATAAAAGTCCCATGACAAGCAGAATGTAAAACAATTCAAAATGAACAATTACATGTACCGATATGATTCAATCGAATAACCAAAAAAAATGTATTTTGCTATTTGTAACCTTTACAAATCCTTTTGGCATCAGATATGATAGGAGATAGATAATGCTATAAGGAAAGAAAAAAAATCTATGAATGTTTCATCGAAATGCGAACTACAGTTATAAAGGTGTTGCAGAAAAAGGGCTGGCAACTATAAAAATGTTTGTAAGAACGAGTTCATCAATCATTATCAACCTTTTAAATCTTTAAGCATAAGAGGATTCACTTTACTACTGTGATGCGCCCAGCATTATAATTTTTCTTTTCATATCCAAATGTTTACAAATTGTGGGTACCATATAAAAACGACCAGCAGAAGTAATTTGCAATATTGTTCACAAAGTGCAATTTAAGGAGTCTAATTTGACGTCATTTAACTATTTAAAAATGGCTTGTTTATTGAATGTTTCGAAAATTTTAAAGATCTATTCTGATGTTCTAGTGCATGTTCTAATGACATCATACCATTCATATTTTACAAAAATAAAGCGATAATTATATCAGAAAGAACCACTTTAGTTTAGATTTCTTCACAAGTTGGATGGTCTCCATCACAGATTGGTAAATCAGTAGAGGGTCTGTGTATCTTAGATTGCAAGAGTTGTGTTGTTTTTTTAAATTTCAAATGGAAAGTTCTTTGTTGTACATGAAACGGATTTATCCAGAAAATGCATAATATGGAAGACCACCATTCTAAAATGGAGAAGAAGAAGAAGGACAACAACAACAACAACAACAACATATTTAACATGCATAAATCTCATGATGGAAACATGTTCGTGTGATAAGAATATGGACCTTGCTTTGTACTAGACCCGCATGCAGATTTTAACGGCTTATTCATAAAGTAATCTCCCGCACTCGAAGCGAGCACACTCCCACAAAACCAAAGTGGCGGTTCCGATACGTATTTAGAAATACGTATATGTTTGTAAGATTGCCAAGTATAACCTTTGAATTCTTTAGTCAAAAAGTCAAAATGGTTTATTTTGTTTATACTTTATTAACAAAACTTTGAATTTAAAAAATCCTTACCTGGTGGACATCCTGGGTTAACACCAAAGTCCGATCTTACAAAATGCATACAAGTAGTCTTGAAATCCCCTGGCGGCGTTCTAAAGGGAAAACACTCTGGTCTACAAAACAAAGACAAAAAACAAATATGTGAATACAGAGATGTCTTTGTTTTTAAACAATGTGTCTACTTTTGTTCACATTCTATGTACACGAGATATATGCAGACAGAATTGTCGCAAGCTCTCAAAATAGATTAAAAAAACTCGAATATTTACATGGTTCATGAGAGAAATAGCAAACTATTCAAATGTTGTAAAAAATTATTTACACAAAACATTCTAGTTTCCCATGTTGATCTCCAATTAAAACGGTATTTATATATCCAACATTCATGTATTTAGTTATGATGTTTCTTTTGTAAGTCCGGTTAGATATTTGGTTATGTCTTTTGTTCGCTGTTGGAGACGACGTGGTTCGGTATTTATATATCCCGCTTTCGAACATGTTGTTGTTATTTTCTTATACGTGTGGTCCTGCTGAGTTGTTGTCTGTTTATTTAATTTTTGGTTTGAATTCTATATTTTCGGTACATTTCACATATGTCTCATTTGTCAGTATAGTCGAGTTACTCGTGGTTCGTCTACAGGGTTTTTGTTTTATGTTGTTTGTTTTCGTGTGTGTTTACTGTTTGGTCTTACATGATCTTGCATTGTATTACAGTTATTTTATTTTTATTTTTATTTTCTATATGTATGTTAAAGTTAAGATAAAAAATCAGCTACTCCATTTATATGATTTTAAGTTTAAAACAACTATATGCACAGAATTTTTTTTTTTTTTTATACAAAGTTTTGATTTAGAAGAAAAACAACATGGTTAGAAAATACAAATAATAACACCATTACAAACACAATTTCATTTTAATATTCCTGTCATGGTTAAAAAATACATAAAATAACACCATTACAAACTCAATCCCAATTTATATTCTTGTACGGGTCTATAAATTAAACAAATCTCTTTTAGTTTTAGAAAGCGAGCTGTAATAATATAAAATTCACAAAAAATACGTCACCTTTTGTGACGTTGATCCATTCATGTGACGCGCAGTTTATATTTCGTTTGTGGTGTCCTGGTGTGCTGTCGTAAATTCATGGGAGGTGTCCGTTGTTATTCTGCGGTTTACATGTTGTTATGTACTATTATATTATTTATTTGTGTATTTCTCTGTGCTGAGTGTTCTTGCGTTTGTTTCTACTGTATTCCTGTCACGTAGTGTTGTCATTTTAGCTGTATTTTTAACATTGCCATATAAGCGGAAGGTTTGGCTAGCCATAAAACCAGGTTCAACCCACCATTTTTTCTAAAAAGGTCCTGTACCAAGTCAGGAATATGGCAGTTGTCATCACAAAGTCCGTTTCTAAGTATGTTGGCGTTTGCTTTTGTTTTAGTTCAGTTTTTCTGTTGTTCCGTTGTTTTCCTCTTATAGTTGATGTGTTTCCTTCGGTTTTAGTTTGTAACCCGGATTTGTTTTTGCTTAATTGAATTATGACTATTGAACAGCGGTATACTACTGTTGCCTTTATTCATTGAAGTCTATTATTAATTACCCCTAAAATAATAATGTAGATTGTTGTGTTTTTACAACTTTTGTTAATTTGACATGTTAGCATAATGTAATTACATAGTAAAGTGTAATCTAATATACCTAAAATGTTCAATCATAGCTTTTAGGTATCTTAGTGCGATACGAAATCTCGAAACTTCCAAGTTGGAACTGAAAGATGTCAGGTTGGATGTGAGAAATGTCGTTCTACTATGATTAAGATACTATTGCAAATCGTTCCCTATTTCAAGAAAGTTGTTAAATCCCAATAAGTATTTTCATACATTAACTGGGAAAAATTTATATTTCTGCATTGATATTACACTTGATAACACGAATCATGTTGTAGTCGGATGTAACTGAACTAAAGAAATTGAGATATGCAATTATTTCAATTTGATTAACACATAATTGGAAAAATTAAGAAAAATGCAAAATGCCGTTATAGTACTTATTATTTGAATTTCATCCAAACCAAATGGTTTGTTTACATGCTTGCTCTTTACACTGAAATTACCTGACAACCGGAACATCTCCGTTGCAGCAAAATATATCTTGGTCACCATCTACAAAATAATAGTAAAAACAAAATTTCAATTACGCAAACAATTATGATATCTAAACATACGTTAACATTAACCTTTGGGTATATATGTGGGATATATGTTTCTTATACGAGTTTGATTTGCCAGTTTGTAGAGGGAATTCGTAAACACCAAGTGTTTATTTCCATTATTTTTGCACACAAAAAAACAGGAAATTTGGAAACCCTAAAGTAGCAGTGCTGTCTTAAAATTATCTGTTCAGGTTGTCTAGACGTAAATTACTTGAGTAACTTGTTCATATTACTACCAAAAAAATAAGGTTATAGAGCAAAAAAAAATTTCGCTTGAAATATTATACGTCTTTTATACCGAAACAATATTAGAATTTACCTTTAAGTAAAGGTGTTGATATAAAATCGTGGTCGACAAATTGTCCAAAATGAGTTAAGGATACACTAAAAATTGTACTTCTAGGAGGAGATACACCACCATCCAGGACAGCGTTAGATACGTCACGTGGACTAGGAAGGAGGGGTCCAATCACACTGCGTATACGTGGAACAGAGCCAGTGTTATATGCTACAATGAAAAAGATAGGTCAAAACTGTGTTCTGCATGTATATCAATTTACATGTATACATGTTTCAAATCGCATTGAAAACAAGAGTCAGAAAAGTAAACAATTCATAAAAGAATATAAAGCTAAACTCAATACTAAGCAAGACATTACTAGTAAATATTTGAAATATTATCGATGAAATATTGATTACTTATTTTATATCCTTCAATTTTTCAACCCCGTTGAAATAATTAACTTACGATCACCGTATGAAGGGGAGAGAAATCTTGCTTGATTTGTTATAGAGGCTCCCCATAAGGGATTGTTTAAGTTGTTGCAAGAGCCATCTGCTGTTCGGTAGCGGTCGTTAGGATTACATACAGGGCAACGAACAGCACAGTATGGAGCCATCTGTCTGATGAATTCAGCTGCGTCAGGTGCAACACCTCCAGATCTGTAATTTATTATATTTTACATGCGACAGAAGGAGACAGATAGGATGTTGGGGGTTTGGGGTTTGATGTAGGAGTAAACTTTTTTTGATTATCTCGAAATTACTTTTTTTTGTGTCTTTGTATTGCTGTCTCATT